GAATATGATGTGATATTCACCGGCAGATGACATATTGACCGAGGCGATAGCCGAGGTCAATATGACTTTCTGCCGGTGAATATCACATCATATTCAATGGTTCACTAGTCAATAATTGTTTTATTATATGAATAGGCTAAGAAATTTAAAAAAATCACAAAAGTACAACCTTATAATTATACATGTACAAATTTTGCCTTGTTGAAGCGCGGGGAAAAAGACGCACGTGTTAGGCGTGCAACGACTATGCGAATGCTGCGCATACAAAAATAATTCAAGTTTATACTCATCATTGCGGTGTAATCTTTAAGAATAATAGTAAAGTATTGATATTTTAATCGAGAAATATGCCATAAAGAACAAAAAGCAACAATTATTTTTTAATTAACACACGTAATTAACAGTCTACGGTGTATGATCATTGAATATGCGTCTCAATCTATTTTTAGACTCGGAAAATCCAATTCAGACAGTGAATATGATACTACACCCAGTAAATATGATTTTATAAAAAGTTCTGTTGACTACTGTTTGGACCAATGAGATTGCAGCTATATTTAGATCATATAATAAAAAGATTTAATGTATTGTAAGCTGAAGATATTAAATGTAAGAATTGAAAGTTGGTTTATATAACATCATGCATTTCACATAGAAGATAATTGATTTCCCTTGATAGCAATTATGCCAAAGAAGAAACTACAGTATAAGACCCTGTGGAGTATTAAATGGTACTTGTTAAAGAAACTGTAGAAAACAACAGTGTTATCTTATTCTCAAGAGAATTCTGTGTAGAATTTACTAATTGATACATCTATCGATTATATCTTCCTATTTTAGCTATAATTTCATCAATACCATGTAAAATGCTTAATATAGATAGTATACATGAAATTCCTAGAAGTTTAGGTATTTATATTGACAATATTGATGGTTTTGTAGACTAAGTGTAGATGTAGTAAAGCTGCAGATTATAGTTCTGTTGGCCTTAGGAACTTAAATTTTCGGATTTTAAGTTGACATATTGATTGCACCTGAAGATGTATCAATTTCAAACATTGTCTAGGTCAATTTTTATAATGGAATGTTGAATTACTGTATGATATCAATATTGAAATGTAAATAATTCTCAGCCCACAAAATAGTGTTAAGTCTGCAGACTGCACAGATGTGAAGATTTTCCCTTTCTATTGTGGTTTTGACAACCAAAAAAATTATGTAAATTTTTACAGACATGGTCAAAACCTAAAGAACACCACATTAGTCAGTTGATGGTTTTGCAGACTAAGTATAGATGGTGTATAGCTGCAGCTTATAGTTCTGTCAGTCTTATGAACTTAAATTTTCTGATTTAAAGTTGAAATATGGTATGCACCTGAAGATGTTTTAGTTTAAGACATTGTCTTGGTGGTGGTGGAATTGGAAGTTTTCACTCTGGATTACGACAGTTCAGTCACTGCATCGCTCCTGGGCAGGCTGTCAAGCAGTTACCAGTACTAGTTGTCTTCACTTTCACATTAGGAACTAATTACTTCTGTACATGCTAGAGCAGAGTTACAGTGCAATTGACCTAAGAATGATTTCATAATCAATCACAACAAAAGTGATCTGCACGCCCGCCTCCGGGAATCTAACCCGGGTCACCCAATTCTTAGTCCAATATCTACCTACTGAGCTAACTGGACGGCTACAAACATTGTCTTGGTCAGTTTTATAATGGAGTGTTCTTACTTTATGATATCAATATTAAAATATATATAATTCTCAGCCCATAGTTGCAAAGTGTAAAGTCATAATACACAGATGATGATTATAGCTTATTCTTTCTATTGATTTGATGTGATATTTATAACCTCTTATAGGGCTGGTAAAACTTGAAATTTAGAACTAAACTAGAACGTCAGTGTCATTTGCATGAAATCATGGGAGAAAACGGTAGAAAAACATTGATTTATTTGTAAATATTTACAGCACGTCCCCTGGATAGCATCAATATATTAAAATCAATGTTCCATCTCAAACATGTTGAATACACCCTGTAATATGGTGTAATTACCCTTTACATGTTCCATACCTTTAATAGAATAACCGTCATTTCAAGCTCAATTTACAAAGAAATAAGATCGCACATTTTAAGTGTTGCAAATAAATAGCCGATGGTTTTAAGGAATTTAGAAAATCTTCAGTGTAATGGTAGCATTATCTGAATGCCATGGGGTATTTGTTTTCAATAACTTTATCAATGTTTTGAGAGATAAAGTATCTTCAAAAATCAGATAAAATGTATTTTGATAGGTTTGTTTTATTGAGGTCTCTTATGTTTGTATTTGTATTAATGTCAATACATAGTTTTGAAATAAGTATTATACATTATTTATAACTTTGACCTGGTATAGTTGAATGTGATTGAATAGATAAGCAGAAAAATATGAAATAAACAAACAATTGTTGATTGTCTAGCTGTGATGCAGTGTAAGAACGGTATATTGTTATATGTTTATAATCTTCTAGTATTGAAGAATTTAAATATACAGCCATTTAAAGTCATGTTAAACACTCGGTTACGTACATCGCTGTCAAATAATGATCAGTGGCAAATTCTGTTGTACGTTAACTGCCCAGGTTGTCCCGCAGCCTGTACGGACAAGTGGAAATTTTTAAGAACTTTACTATAAAAATATCGTAATAAAATGCTCCCCCCAACCCCCATAAATTATCATTTTTAGCTCGACTATTCGATAAGAATAAGTAGAGCTATTGCAGTCACCCGAGCGTCGGCGTAACCACTTATGTTAAAGTTTTTGTAATAGTTCAAATATTTTCAAAGTCCATTGACATATGGCTTTGAAACTTTGCACACTTGTTCACCATCATGACCCCAACCTGTAGACAGGAGAAGGTAACTCTATCAAGCATTTTGACAGAATTATGCCCCTTTTTCGACTTAGAATTTACGTTAAAGTTTTTGTAATAGTTCAAATATTTTCAAAGTCCATAGACATATGGCTTTGAAACTTTGCACACTTGTTCAACATCATGACCCCAACCTGTAGACAGGAGGAGGTAACTCTATCAAGCATTTTGACAGAATTATGCCCCTTTTTCGACTTAGAATTTACGTTAAAGTTTTTGTAATAGTTCAAAATATTTTCAAAGTCCATTGACATATGGCTTTGAAACTTTGCAACACTTGTTAAAACCAATCATGACCCCAACCTGTAAACAGGAGGAGGTAACTCTATCAAGCATTTTGATAGAATTATGCCCCTTTTTCGACTTAGAATTTATGTTAAAGTTTTTGTAATAGTTCAAATATTTTCAAAGTCCATTGACATATGGCTTTGAAACTTTGCACACTTGTTCACCATCATGACCCCAACCTGTAAAGAGGAGGAGGTAACTGTACCAAGCATTTTTTTTACTATCAAGCACTAAGAATAGTCGAGCGTTGCTGTCCTACTGACAGCTCTTGTATTATAAATCCAGGGAAATTATCACAAATTTTAACTTACAGTATGGTATATAGAATCTAGTAGAAAATAATAGAAAAACAGAACATTCTCTCTATTTTGATGCTATTTAACATTTCTATACTATAATCAACACCCCAACCCCCTTTTGGGTGGGGGTTGGGGGTGTAATAGGGAATATACAGTGTATACATATAGGTGAACTCAAATTTTCTGTCAAGGAGACATTTTACATGATATTTAAATGAAATTTTGTAACAAATTTTTTGAACCAGAAGCTAATTTCAGTAGTTTTATTTGGTCAAAAATTCGTTTTAGTTGAGGGTATATTAATCTATCCTGTATTGTGTAGATTTCAACCTGATTTGGTCTAGTGAATGGGGGAAACATTGGTCTTATTCAGTTCAATAGATTCTTGTTGTAAAAATGATCACCTTACATTACTTCTAAATGGGACATTTCATTCCTTACTTACACTCTAGTATATTTTACTGAATAAAGTTTTCAGTTTTTTCAATAGTTTTGCGTGTTTTATTGCAGTTTGATAGCTATCGTTAATTTCAAGTCTTTATTCTCGTGAACAAAATTGAGGCCAAAAATGAAAGACATTATTATACCTAAGTCATCACCCCTGGAGAAAAAAAACACACCATTCATACAGCTTAATGTGTTTCTCTTTAATACTACAGAGAATCAACTAAATGAGTGTCAAATTAATCATAGTGTAAGGTATATGTTATACTATTATGCTAGAGGTGAAATTATAAAATTAACATCATATACTGTAAAATATATATTGATGAAGTAGGTTTTAAAAGATAGTGATATGAAAACTTGGGGGGGGGGGGGGGGGGGATAAAATTTTTTACAAAAGTAAAGCATTTTTAAGTAGATGCTAAGTGCTCAAAATTAGCTTGTGGCAGATAGAGTCTTTATATTATTTATATAATGTATTGTACTTAAGGTAATATTAAATTAATGTAGGCAGATATTAAGTGATACAAAGATAGAAGGTGATAACAGGGTAGACAGTATTTGTTAGTAACAATAGAGTAGTTATTAGGCCACAGACTAAGAACAACTAGCCCCTCTCTACTGTGGATTTGAAACATGGACTTTGGATTCTTTCATGTGAGAAAAATATCCAGCTACCTTATGGAAGATCAGTGGTTCTACTCAGGAGCCGGTTTCTACATCCACCACTTAATCATGAAAGTCACTTGTATAAAGAGTTACTGAAAATAAAAACAACAAATAACCAGTCTTTTGAACAGCAAAGTCTGGTTACAGTATGCTGACAATGAATCATTTGCATGCTATCTCTTTGGGTCAGAGTTCGTTAAAAAAAATATTGAGCTATCTCAAGTGTGAGCTAAATGTCAATCTGGCTTATGGAAGGTCTGTGACTCTATCCAGGGGTCTACCTGATTGTAATATAATACACAGACGGCTATCTTAGGTCTTATTGTACCATATGTCATTCACTATACCAGTGACTTATAAAACATTGTTTTTTTTTGTATATTTCAGTATTAGTGTTCGAACAGTGGATTCATTAGAGAGCCCCCAGACTGGTAACGGATCTTTCGGTGTGAGCATCACAGAGTCTCAAACTGTTCCGATATCCGACTCAACACAGTTTGAGGAAATTATAGACCTAACAGGTGTCCCTTCAAAGCCTATAAAGTTTGGTGAGGGCTTTGTTAATCATAGTGAGGATTTGTTGAATTTAAACAACGGAGATGGTGTTGATAATGGGCACCTGAGTGAAGATGGAGATGTGAACTCACATCAAGTTGGTATACCTATTGTAGCATTTGAGGAGAATGCAACAAGAAGACAAGATGTCACAGGTGAGCAGACCATCCTCTCAGTTTAACCTTTAATCTGTTGAAAATTGTGTAATGGATATGCCCTATTTTGAATTTGGAACAGTCCATTCAACATTGAAGGGATTTCAATGTAATGAATTTCGAACTGTCTTATTACACATTCAAAATACTGATTTTGAAAACACTGACAATAGATGCTGGATGAACTGTTTATGTTGTGCTCTGTATCCATTAGTAATATTAAGACGAATTTCAATAATGTCAGGAAATATGTCACTGTATGGAACTGTTCACTTAATGTGGAGGAAGTGTGCAAGCTGAACAGGGTAGCTTGGTCTGCAGTGCTGTGTAATGGTCTTGCCAGGTGTGTTCAAGGTTCATGTCCCAGTCAGGCCGCATATGTTTTATATTTTTTAAGCCTATGACAAAAGTTTTATACTAGAATTATTAAAGTTATAAAACTTTTACAGGGGTAATTATGCAAATTTATTTAAAAGTCCTTTTCTGTATATATATATACTTGAGTAAGTTAAACTAGCTTGATTATTTTCTAATTTTTGTTTTCTATTTTTAACAGACCTCTTGTCATGAAGACACAACTGATGTTAATGCATCCATGGTAACTGCAGATCTTTCATCCAATCAGCACGCAGAATCCAGCATGGACAAACATGATGCTATAGGGGCATCCCAGCATTCCCCTAGTGTCAATAATACACGCAAATCTAATAATACAGATTTCAAATATGTCTCTGTAGGAAATCAATCTAATTATAGAGATAATTCTGGTTGTCATAGACACAAAAATGATTTAGGCCAGAAACTTGATGACGACCCTGAAGAAATTGAACGTGTAGACAATTTGTGGTCCGAAGTTGAAGACGTTATGGGTCGTCAATATTCGGAGACGTGTAAAGTGCTGGAGGTGTATGGGATAGGTGAGGGGGAGGGGGATAGTGAGACAGAGGAGGGGCAATTGTGGAGAATGGTCCAGGGGGATGCACCCTACACTCTAAATATTATTTGAGATATTCGTAAGGTGTAAATTATTAATATATTCGTAATTAATGCCAGAATAATAACTTTCTTGCCGCAATCAGATACTAATCGGGTTCTTAAAACTGAATCATTGGTTTAGACAAGTACATAAATTCTGTTAAATGTCTTTTGTGAATGTTGAAATTGTTAACAAAATTAACATTTGTGCAATAATACTTCATACTATTGGTGTTTTCTGTTAATAACCAAGGGAAGTAAGAATGTAATTTAGTTTGCTGTTTTGATTTTCAAATAAACTCTTTATTTGTTTCTTAACTAATGAATATTGTATGCATTTAAAACCTATAATGAAGGTGCTTTGATTTGATCAATTCAGAATAAATTTCAAGAAAATCTAAACATTATTCGTCCATTACTGACGTAGGTGCCAAATCCTGGATCATTATTACCTCCCTTTGATCATCAACGTGTTGAATGGTTGCATTACCTCCCCCCTCACATTTTATTTGTGTTCTATATTATATATAAAATCTGTGATCCTACTGGTGATAATGTATACATGTGCTAAGGTGTTTTAAATATAATCAGAATTGAGTTACAGTGAAATTTATGATACATGTACATTGATAATAAATGCACAAATTATGTGATCAATTAATTTTTAGAAATTTTAGAAAAGTCAAGAGAAAATATGTCTAAAAGAATTTTAAATGTTATTTGAGCTGATTATGGGTTTAATATTTTCATTTGTTATAATGAATGGTAATAAATATTGAAATTAAAAAGAAAAGGAATGAAAATGATGGACTAATTAAAAGGATGATACTGTTGGATTCTATGAATAAATCTTTCTGACGTTATATTTGACACATCTTTGTACTAGAATATGAACTTATATATATGTAAATGGTTGTTCTAACAACGTTTTATTGCTGATCTGCCATTATTACATGTTATATTTATTGTTAAAATCTGTCTTGCTGTAACTATTAAATGTGTGCTTTGGTGTTTCCAAGTCAATTATTGACTTTATCTTAAATAAAACTTGATAAATTTGTAATGCTATTAATTGATTAATTAGAAACATGTTTTAATTGGTTGAATGGTAAACTGCTATCAGTAATTGTCTAGTATTTGTGATGTTATATATATAAATAGATGAAGCTCATTGTTAAACTATTTCCATGTATGTATAAGGAATAATGATGTTACTCAATGTAATGTATCTTCATGATTTTCACAAATAATGGACAAATGTTTTATAAGGCCCTGTTCAAGCCAATTGTCTTGTCTTGCTTAACAAAGGTGTTTTACTATATTACAAAAAGCTTTTTTTATACTTAGATCATGTTTTCAACTTTTTCTCAAAATTTACTGGCAAAATGTGACAGGAATTTGTTTTGTATAAGAAAAAGTTTGCAAATTTTGTGACATATGTCAGAATTTTGAACAGGGTCTTTTATTTTTAGGACCACATGCGAATCATATCTCATATTTTCGCCTCCACATATATCATATTTGCATTATTTATTGGTTAGAATGATATAGAAGTTTAGTCATTTAAATTGTGTAAACTGTCATTCAAAAAATTAATTGGCATATATTGGCCAGTAAGATGTAAGTGATGTCTGAATCATGTTTGTAATGTAAGCATCATGTTGCTGGTGTTAGCATCATGTTGCTGGCATAAGCATCATGTTGCAGTGTTAGCATCATGTTGCAGTGTTAGCATTATGTTGCTAGTGTTAGCATCATGTTGCAGTGTTAGCATTATGTTGCTAGTGTTAGCATTATGTTGCTGGTATTAGCATCATGTTGCTTGTGTTAGCATTCTGTTGCTGGTGTTAGCATCATGTTGCTGGTAAAAGCATGTTGTAACTGGTGTTGGCAACATGTTGCTGGTGTTAGCATCATGTTACTAATTTTTGCCTCTCATTATAAATGTTAGCATTTCATATACAAACATATTCATACAATCAGAAGTATGAATGTGTGCATATTTAAGTAGAACAATGGGATCTATTTTCATAATTGTCATATTTGAGCCATTCTGAACAAGGCTTGAAATAGAGCTGTCAATTAAAGGGACACAACCCAATCTAGAATATGTGTTTAAGACCATATAATTATTTGTAATCAGTGGATCAATCTAAGCAGAAACAGTTGTAAGGCATTTTATCTTTATACAGAGATACAACAGTTTATTATTTTGCTGGTAATTATAATATCTTTGGGTTAATTAGTTTAACTTGTCTGACAAAATTTGATTTTCTCCTATACTTGATCAAATTGTAGTCGGGAGTTGAGTCCCTTTAATTGGCTAACACTTCATATGTATTAACCTTTATTATTGATAATTGATAGAAGATAAATAAAACCCAACAAACATGCACTGGTAAAGCTTAAATGTCTGGAAAAATGTGTAAAAACCACCCAAAATTTCTGAATATACAGTATTGAGAGATTTTTATTTATTTATAAGAAAGATATGTATACAATGTACTTGTAAAAGTTGATGTTTTTTTTTACACTATAGCATTAAGAATTTCCTATCTTCATCTCTGTAGGTTGTAAGACATTTTGTGATTATTATTATTAAAATGATTTAGATTATGTACTGGTTTATAATTTTATAATAGATCTTTTTTCATAGAATTTTATATTTCTCTACATTTTTATTATAGATTAAATCATGTATCTAACGCAGTAACATATTTTTGGTTTTCTCTAACAGAATTTGGTTTGAGAAAAATAAATTTACATAGAATTCTTGCTAAATAACACTCATTTAACATAATAATATTTAATTGATATTAACTCTTTAATTAAATCAGATGTGAAATCTTGGGTGACTAACAAAATACTTTAGATTTGCAAATATAATTGTAATGATTCAAATACCTATATTTCTGATTTGTGTTTCAAGTCATTTATATAATTATTTCTAAAAAAATTTAAAGTTAGCTATTTTCAAGTACATGTAGATGGCATACACATGTTTAGTTTTGCTCAATCTGTCACCTGTACCTGTGTATGTTGCCTTCAATATTACAACAGTTAATTAACAGGTAATAACATGTTGATACAATCAACTCTATTAGGTTATGTCATTGATTTCTTGAGATGATTTTATTTGTTTCTTGTTAATTTTTTATTTACATCAATGTTATTCACAAAGTGCTATAGTTATATCATATAACACATTCAGTCACTTCTGTTACTATGATTTCCTTTTTTCGAAATTTTGTTTTTGCGTAAAAGGGTCCATAAATTTCCTCCTTAAGTTTGGTTGTAGAATTATTTACGTTGCTTAGCAACCAGACTGCTTTCGGTGTCAAACAAAGTGTATTCATGCCAGCTTTCCTAATGCATTTGTTTCTTTTCTTTTATTATAAACTTATATTCACTTTACCAACAGTTGCCTGAAATCAAAAATGGATAATTGACAAAAACAGGAGAAAAAAAATTGTTTTAAAGCATAACTTGCTATAGAAATAACAATTTTATCTAGAATAGTCTCACTTGTTGTACTACCTAGATGTAAGTATAGAAATAATTCTATGTAGTGGCATAGCTCGAGTTGATCTATTTACTGTTTCTAAATTATGCTTTTTTATCTGCTTTGCTACACCCCCCCCCCCCCCCCCAAAAAAAAAAAAAAGAAGCTTTTTTTTGTTTGTTTTATGAACCGCTTTGTTGACTTATTTATTTCGCAGCACAAGGAGGAAATCTAAGCTGGACACCTGACCTGATATAACTGATGAAAGATCAGCAGATTTATTAGATAACTGTAGATGAAAAAAGTTATATAATGGCAGTTACCTTTGGTATAGTAAAAAAAACAACATACCGTAATATAGAATGCTTGTGCACTTACTTACATTTTACAGTTTTGTTGTTCTCAAGTATTGTAAAAAAGACATTGAAATTTTCAGTCACTATGGAAACATGTCTTAGTTTATTGTTCTCAAATATTGATATTTGCAATTGCTATGAAAATATAATATTTCCTACCATAACAATAAGAATACACTTTTTCATATTTCCGAAAAATTTGACATTATTGCAAAATTGTGAAAATATTTTTACATTTATTGGGAAAGGAAAATAACATAAAAAGTGAATAAATTTAAAAAACTAAAGTAAAAATCTCAGTATGAGTACCATCAAATTAACTGCAATTTGTTGCAGAATAAAACTTTATCAGTATGTTACAATTCTGCTGGATCAGAGAGGGATAGATATATAATTTACTGATATATATATATACAATATATTAGGTAAACGTTCATTTTTACATAGAGAGCATGCTGGGAAACTACACGTTGTGTTACGTATATGACGCTAGTACAAACAGAGTTTTGTATGAAGTTTCGATACCAAGTTTTATGTGAGAGAGAGAGTTTTGAGAGTATTTTCGTGATGTAGTGACACTTTGTATGTAAAGTGTGACTCCTGTATTCTTTTTTTTTGTTTTTGCACATTGATACATTATGCTATGTATTGTTTCAGTAAAGTGGAATAATATTGTATCGTCTTCTAGTTGTTTTTTTTCTTTCTCATGTTATTATACTATTATTATGAAAAAACCTACTGCAAAGCTTGTCTCTTAAAGAAATCCCTTGTTCTGATATGAGAAGGCTGTGATTAAGTGTCTCAAGCTAGGCATATGATCCCTGTCAACCAGTTAAAATACCTAGAGAAGGAGACGTCTCTTGTTTCTTTAAGTGACTAAGACAGTGCAGGAACAAACTTATTTGCTCAACATTGTTTGATGAAAGTGCCCATATCTATATTGTTAAATTCTATTTATTGCAGCATTCTTTTCTGGCCCATTTTGATAATCGATATTGGGTCATGTTCCAAAAGTCAAAATCAGGGAACAAAAAAGAACTAAAATTATCGAAAGACCCCCCAAGGTCTTCCTCCACCAGTAAAGCTGGAAAATAGCCATACGATCTATAATGTGTTAGTGTGACGTAAAACCCAATCAAATAAACAACCAAACTAAAATAATTGTCATTTTATTACATTTAACTGCACTGTGCTATGGAAAATTGTAATCTTGCATTCCGGATGGTAGTATGTGCTTATAAGTGAAATATGAAAGAAGTTTATGTAGCCAAATATTAATTTATATATATAAGGGAATATTGTTTTTAGTGTGGTGCTTCAACACATTTTTATTCTTACTCGATAGTTATACCAGTAGAATATTTGCTTGTGCTAAATAACGAAAATAGGTTAAGGTCTTCAGACAGCCACATGGCTTAAAGTCTTCAGGATTTTCCCTAATTCCATTCATAACTGAATACATTGTAAATGATCAAAGGCAGACTTGTTGTCCATTGCTAATATTTAAACCAGAGCTGAATTGTTTTTCATGGATGAATTCTGTAATTTTGCATCATTGTATCGAACATTGAGACGATATGTCCTATATAGATGCAAGACTCAGGTTTGTAGGTTAAAGTTCAAGATCACACTTAGACATGTAAAGAATTTTTCATGAAAGTGCATTGATGGTGCTGTTTGATTAAGAATTCTATCATTCCTGTCTGGATTTTAAAATAACTGTATTGAACAGGATGCTGACAACATTTCCTGTGAAAAATGTTAAGTCTCTGGCTCAAAGGCAAAGATCACATACACTAAAGTCATGATAAGGATGATATAAATGATTACATAAGAAAGCATTGATGATTGTATCTGGTCAACAATTCCTGGATGGATTTTAAAATAATGTGGCATAAATATGTTAGACCCATTAAAGGCCCATTATGTCCCAGAAATGCTTTTATTTCTCAAATCTTCTTATTTTTGATATGCTTTTATAGTTTCCAAACAATAACTCCAATTACCTGGGCTGTCTATTTCTTCTGATGCATTTTAACAATAAATACATTAATTTTATAGTGACAGAGTAATTTGTATGGAAGTCAAAATACTACTTTGTTTACATTTTGCTGCTATTATGAGAAATTATTTCACATTTAGCAATACTTTCTTCAGGTAATAAGCGTCAAACATGCTCTAAAATCATTATTTAAACGTAATAAAACTCGAGATATTTCAAATGGAGGAAATAATTTTTATCTTTTCTGAGGCATCATGCGCCTTTAAGGATGTGTGGCATAGAAGAATAAGATCTGCAGTTCTAAGGTTAATCTGATCTTGTACAGCTAAAAAGAATTTTTCATACAAGTGATGGTTCAGTCTGATAAATTACTGGTGGATTATAAAATAACTTGGCAGTTCAAAGGTCAAGGTCACAGTAGTCTTCCAAACTCACAATATAAATGTGGATAAAAAATCTGGCCTGGCCCATGATTTTGTCATTAAGACAATGTTAAGTGTGCAAGATTGGGGTCAAGATCACATCTGTATGTCAAAAGTCAAGATAGTGAATAGATGGCTGTGCAAAACTTTGTTACACATGGGTGGATTTGAAATATATTGAAAATGTACAATTCACCATTTTTAGTTTTTGTCTGTATCACAGGAATGGAAATTGCTGGCCTCATTATGATGCATGTATGGTTACTGCTTGTAACAATACTGTTATACAGGAATGGTAACTACTTGTCAACCTGACTGTAACCAACTGTGTCAAAATGACTTGTAACAATGGGGTCGGTAACTACTGTGTCAACATGACTGTAACACAGTGACTGTAACTACTGTGTCAACATGACTGTGACACAGGGACGGTTACTACTGTATCAACATGACTGTGACACAGGGACGGTAACTACTGTATCAACATGACTGTAACACAGTGACTGTAACTACTGTGTCAACATGACTGTAACACAGTGACTGTAACTACTGTGTCAACATGACTGTGACACGGGGATGGTAACTAACTGTATCAACATGACTGTGACACAGGGACGGTAACTACTGTGTCCAACATGACTGATGACACAGTGACTGTAACTACTGTGTCAACATGACTGTGACAACAGGGTCGGTAACTACTGTTCAAACATGACTGTAACACAGTGACCTGTAAACTCCTGTATCACAATGACTGTGGACACAGGGAGCGGTAACTACTGTGTCAAACATGACTGTGACAGCAGGGAACGGGTTCAAACATACTGTGTGAACCTAACTACTGTGTCAAAATAATTTGTGAACAGGGATGTAAAAAAAGAAAACTGACTGTGTCAACCATGACGAATGACACAGGATGTAACTACTGGTGTCACAACATGATTGTAACACAGGGTCGAAAACTACTGTGTCAACATGACTGTGAACACAGGGACGGTAACTACTGTGTCAACATGACGATGAAGCAGGGAATAGTAACTACTGTGTCAACATGATTGTACACAGGGTCGGTAACAAACTGTGTAACATGACTGTGACACAGGGACGGTAACTACCTGTGTACCAACATGACTGTAACACAGTGACTAACTACTGTGTCAAATAATTGTGACACAGGATGGAACTACTGTGTCAACATGACGATGACACAGGGATGGTAACTATGTGTCAAACATGAATTGTAACACAGGGTCGGTAACTACTGTGTCAACATGACTGTGACACAGGGACGGTAACTACTGTGTCAACATGAACTGTGAACACATGGGACGGTTATTACTGTGTCAACATGAGTGTAATCCCAAGGACGAGTAACTACTCTATCACATGTCTTGTGAACAGAGGGTGTAACTACTGTGTCAACATGATTGTGACACAGGGACGGTAATAACTGTGGTCAACATGAGTGTAATCCAAGGACAGTAACTACTCTGTCAACATGACTGTGACACAGGGATGGTAACTACTGTGTCTACATGATTTACAGTGACACAGGCACGGTAACTACTGTGTCTACATGATTAACAGTGACACAGGGAGGGTAACAACTGTGTCAACATGACTGTGACAAAGGGATGGTAACTTCTGTGTCTACATGACTCTGACACAGTGACGGTAACTTCTGTGTCTAAGACTTGACACGGGGGACAGAAATTTTCTTTTGTCAACATGACGTAACAGGGCGGTTCTACTGTGTAAAACATGACTGTAACAAGTGCAGTTATACTGTGAAAACATGATGTAAACATGGCGGTAATACTGTTCAACATGATTTACACGGGGCAGAAAAAAACTGTGTCAACATGACTGTAACACAGGGATGGTAATGGCTGTTGTTTCATGTGCCAACAATGGTTGTCAGACAGGTATTGTTGTGCCACAATGTGTTTCATGATGCCACAATGGTTGCCAGACAGGTATTGGTTGTTTCATGTGCCACAATGGTTGTCACAGGTATTGTTGTTTCAGGTATTGTTGTTTCATGTGCACAATGGTTGTCAGGTATTGTTGTTTCATGTGCCACAATGGTTGTCAGACAGGTATTGTTGTTCATGTGCCACAATGGTTGCCAGACAGGTATTGTTGTTTCATGAGCCACAATGGTTGTCAGGCAGGTATTGTTGTTTCATGAGCCACAATGGTTGTCAGCAGGAATTGTTGTTTCATGTGCCACAATGGTTGTCAGACAGGTATTGTTGTTTCATGTGCCACAATGGTTGTCATGCAGGTGTTGTTGTTTCATGTGCCACAATGGTTGTCAGACACGTATTGTTGTTTCATGTGCCACAATGGTTGTCAGGCAGGAATTGTTGTTTCATGTGCCACAATGGTTGTCAGGACAGGTATTGCTGTTTCATGTGCCACAATGGTTGTCAGGCAGGTATTGTTGTTTCATTAGCCACAATGGTTGTCAGGCAGGTATTGTTGTTTCATGTGCCACAATGGTTGTCAGGCAGGTATTGTTGTTTCATGTGTCACAGTGGTTGTCATGTAGGTATTGTTGTTTCATGTGCCACCAATGGTTGTCATGCAGGTATTGTTGTTTCATGTGTCACAGTGGTTGTCATGTAGGTATTGTTGTTTCATGTCTCACAATGGTTGTCATGCCAGGTATGTTGTTTCATGTCTCACAATGGTTGTCATGCAGGTATGTTGTTTCATGTGCCACAATGGTTGTCATGCATGTATGGTTGTTTCATGTGTCACAGTGGTTGTCATGCAGGTATTGTTGTTTTATGTTCACAGTGGTTGTCATGCAGGTATGTTGTTTTCATGTGCACAATGTTGTCAGGCAGGTATGTTGTTTCATGTGCCACAATGGTTGTCATGCAGGTATTGTTGTTTCATGTGCCACAATGGTTGTCATGTAGGTATGTTGTTTCATGTGCCACAATGGTTGTCATGCAGGTATGTTGTTTCATGTGCCACAATGGTTGTCATGCAGGTATTGTTGTTTTATGTGTCACAGTGGTTGTCATGCAGGTATTGTTGTTTATGTGCCACAATGGTTGTCATGCAGGTATGTTGTTTCATGTGCCACAATGGTTGTCATGCAGGTATTGTTGTTTTCATGTGTCACAGTGGTTGTCATGCAGGTATGTTGTTTCATGTGCCACAATGGTTGTCAGACAGGTATTGTTGTTTTATGTGCCACAATGGTTGTCATGCAGGTATTGTTGTTTTATGTGCCACAATGGTTGTCATGCAGGTATTCTTGTTTCATATGTCACAATGATTGTCATGCAGGTATTGTTGTTTCATGTGCCACAATGGTTGTCATGAAGGTATTGTTGTTTCATGTGTCACAATGGTTGTCATGCAGGTATTGTTGTTTTATGTGTCACAGTGTTGTCATGAAGGTATTGTTGTTTCATGTGTCACAGTGGTTGTCATGAAGGTATTGTTGTTTCATGTGCCACAATGGTTGTCATGCAGATATGTTGTTTCATGTGTCATAGTGGTTGTCATGCAGATATGTTGTTTCATGTGCCACAATGGTTGCCAGACAGGTATTGTTGTTTCATGTGCCACAATGATTGTCATGTAGGTATTGTTGTTTCATGTGCCACAATGGTTGTCATGCAGGTATTGTTGTTTCATGTGCCACAATGGTTGTCATGCAGGTATTGTTGTTTCATGTGCCACAATGGTTGTCATGCAGGTATTGTTGTTTTATGTGCCACAATGGTTGTCATGCAGGTATTGTTTGTTTCATGTGCCACAATGGTTGTCATGCAAGTATTGTTGTTTCATGTGCCACAATGATTGTCATGTAGGTATTGTTGTTTCATGTGCCACAATGGTTGTCATGCAGGTATTGTTGTTTCATGTGCCACAATGGTTGTCATGCAGGTATTGTTGTTTCATGTGCCACAATGGTTGTCATGCAGGTATTGTTGTTTCATGTGCCACAATGGTTGTTATGCAGGTATTGTTGTTTCATGTGCCACAATGGTTGTCAGGCAGGTATTGTTGTTTCATGTGCCACAATGGTTGTCATGCAGGTATTGTTGTTTCATGTGCCACAATGGTTGTCATGCAGGTATTGTTGTTTCATGTGTCACAATGATAGTTATGCAGGTATTTTTGTTTCTTGTGTCACAATGGTTGTCATGTAGGTATTGTTGTTTCATGTACCACAATGGTTGGCATGCAGGTTGGTTGTCATGCAGGTATGTTGTTTCATGTGTCACAATGGTTGTCATGTAGGTATTGTTGTTTTATGTGCCACAATAGTTGGCATGCAGGTTGTTTGTCATGCAGGTATGTTGTTTCATGTGCCACAATGGTTGTCAGACAGGTATTGTTGTTTCATGTGCCACAATGGTTGTCAGGCAGGTATTGTTGTTTCATGTGCCACAATGGTTGTCAGGCAGGTATTGTTGTTTCATGTGCCACAATGGTTGTCATGCAGGTATTGTTGTTTCATGTGCCATGTTTGTCATGCAGGTATGTTGTTTCATGTGCCACAATGGTTGTCAGACAGGTATTGTTGTTTCATGTGTCACAATGGTTGTCATGCAGGTTTGCTCTTTGATGTGCCACATGGTTGTCATATATGCATGCTTTCTGATGTGCCACATTGGTTGTCTTACATACCTATCTGTATGTACAAATTTAAAATTAAACTGTTTCTGATGAGGCTGAATTCCTTTGGTTTAATTCCACAGATGAATCACTGATAAACGTTGATAAATACCGGTATGTACGGAACTACAATTACTCATGGAGAATGACAAAAATAACAAACAAAATTAACATAAAAGACACTGATTATTATGATACATTTAAGATGAAAACCTTTAATGACTAAATCCATAAATGACGTCTAGTATTAAAAATCACTTAAACTTGTTTATTATCCACTTAGAACCTGCCATTTGCTGCTTTAATAATATTGTAAGCCTTTACGCCAAATAACTTTCCCGCCAAAAGTCAAAGTTATCGCGGTATCATTGTGTGTTCTCTCTATGAAAGGGTAATATGGGTGTAATCTATCACATGAAACTGAGATGCCATCTTTCTGAGTTTCTGGGTCACGTGCTGTACACGTGTTCGTCTGTCCGTACTTTCTTTTAATGACGGCATCTACTTTGTTTGGAACAAACAACTCTTCATCTTCAAACATCATTTTCTGTAACGGAAAAATATCAGTTCTCGGAAATGCAGTTCTATGAGTGACAACACCATCCGAATGTTTGACATGTGTAGAATTATCCACGAAAAAGAGAATATGAATATACGGGAACATTGCACGCGCTGTTAATTTTGATACAGATTTATTTTGCCTTGTCAAATCACTGTATAATTTCCATAATGTTTTATCACCTTTTACATGGTGTAGACTATATCCTGGAATCTGGCTAAGAATGGTGTCTGCCTTTGTCGTCTGCCGCTGATCCATCCATATATCTACATCATCATCCCATGGAATTAAACCAGCATGCCTGTATGCACCGAGTAATGAACCACCATATAACATATAAGTTAAATTGTTTCTTTCACATGCATATTTCAACACCTTTAAAGTGTCTTTGAGAATCGAAAATTCTTTTTGTGTTAGTGTCTGTCGAAAGACGATAAGAGATTTGTCCGTGGTATTTGATAATAGGCTTCTTGAATTCCAGTTTGGTAGTTTCCCTGCCCTTTCAAAAAGGTCTTCACTTCCAACAGTTTCTGTCACATAGCCTCTTGTATTAAAAGTTATGTTCGTTTTAATGAAATTAAACCAAGTCAGCAGTAATATCAAGTAACCCGCTGAGATGACAACGATATAGATATACATTCGTAATATGTATCTCATTCTTCAGTCATTGTCTTGTAGTTCTTCCGGATTAATGTCACATCAAGTAAGTGTAGTCTTAAGATTACTAAACTGTTTGAAAACACAATTCAATTAAAATTCCTCCAATAATAATAACAATGAAACACACGTTAGTGTCACGATGGGATTTTTTTAACATATTTAAACACTATAGACGTCCTGCTCATGTGGGTGCATACAATCTGAGTTCAATCTGATCAACTTTCTATTTTAGACAACCGCGAATTTTCAAAAAAACTTGCGCAAAAATCCCAAATATGGGCACATTATGCAACAGAAAATTTTTTTTTCTTTTCTATAAAATGGAAAGGGTTTTTTTAAAAATGCTGAAATTTAATGTTCATATAAACTTTATTTTTAAAAATGTTTATCCGCAAAAGGAAATAGAGCTGTATGAATATAGCTTTAAAATAGCAAAATTTATTTGATAAAAGGGACTTATTAAATTAGAGAATTAGAAACTCTTATCTTGTTAAATTTTTAATTTGCAAAAAAACTTTTCATGTTAAAAAAATTTTTAAACATAAAAGTTTCTTTTTCTTGCGTCTTTACATTAATATAAATATTTGAAAATTTTTAAAATTTAAATTTAAATTCAAAAATTTCATCAATCATTTGATCGGGATTAAGTACAAACATTAATCGATATATTTTTGCTCGATATTTCAGCCGAATGGTTTTGCAATCATTATCGCTTATTTGATCAGGATAGAAAATGGCGACAAGTGGGTGTTTAACTCGTTCAAAACAATATTTATCAGGCCGAAATATTGCTTGTGTTCCGTGTAGGAGTAGGAATAAGAGGGGGAAGACGAATAGAGGTGTTAAATATTGTGTGGACTGCCAAGAGTTTTTGTGTACTGTGTGCGTGAATAAACACAACAGTGTTTCTGTTTTCGCTGGACATTCTTTACTTGATAGGTCAAAATTTAGAACATTAGGCGGATCAAAAGACGGACATTCTGCGTCTTTGCGAACAAAGAGACACAAGTTACATTCCACGAAAGTATTAGACACAGGTCAAAGGTATGTTAAAGTTCCTATTATTGTTTATTAATTTATGATCGATCTTCGTTTATATTAATCTGGAGTTCCTTCCCTTTATACTACTTTCCGTAGTAAACCAGATGTCTGATAAACCTGCCTTAAAAATTTTTTTCGTGGGATGTTTTTTTGAGACTTTCGTGGGTAAAAAGCATGTACTTTAAAAAACGTACAGCAAAAAAATAAAAATTTAAATATGTATCAAAATAATGACACTTTTAGAAAAATAGAATTTCCCCTTTTATTTTTCAAATTTTTAGTTTTCTAAAAATAGTGAGCAATTAAAACTTTCAAAAAAGACGGGGTTGTACACAAAATTTTAATTTTTTCATTTTTTTTACATGTCCATAAAAACCTACCACAAAGGTTTTTTTTATCCCCCCCCTTTATCCATGGTGAAATTAAAGCACTAAAAAGGGTTCGTCACTGGGCTCTTAGGGGCGTCCATCCCCGGGGAGTGGTTTTGACCCTGGTTTTTTTTATTTATAAACCCCCCCTGTTAGCCAATTTTATCTTTCCTGTTTCCGGGCCATATGACCTAAAAATTTTGTTGGTGCGCCCTTAAAACATACAAAAAAAATTTCATTATTGTTTAATGTTTTTAAAATCTGTGATGCTGTAAATAGAAAAGAAATTCTAAAAATTATGGCTATGAAAATACAAAATAACAGTGATATTCTATTCTTTTTAGGAGGAAACAAGTTCATATCACATAGAAGATATTCTTAATAATAATAATAATAATAATAATAATAATAATAATGTAGATTAAGTTTTTACATACTTTTTTATTAGGAGACGCTCAGACAAGCGCCAAAGGGAAAAGCTAGTAGAACCAAGAACCAAGTTATATACATTTGAACATGTAGGCACACACAACATAAATCTACCTATAAACATAGATATCACTCAGGTATGGATGTTATGCATACTCGATTCTGGCGACATACTTCTTGCTGACCGTTATTACAAAATTTTGAAACTTCTAGATGGCAGAACATACTGTATTAAAGACAAAGTTAAGATTCCCCATATACCTACATCAGTATGTAAAGGTCGGACACATGAGGCAATAGTCGCTTTAGAAAATGAAGGCATACAATTCGTATCTACGAAGAAGAATCTTGTTCTTACCAATATATTAAGGATGGATCATATTTGCTTGGGCGTCTGTATGATTTCTTCGAATATTTTTGTCACTGACGGTATAAACAGAAATATTTTTAAGTATGACTTAAAAGGAAAACTACTAAAGATAATTTCTGGAGAAACAATATTTGGATGGAACCGATTTTTAGTTGCCAGTGACGATGGAAAAGCTCTGTTTGTAACTGATAAGAACGAAGGATTGGTAAAAATGGATCTTGAAGGCAATGTCATCTGGAAACTACCAGAAAACGGTTTTAGAGGAGCGCTCGACTTATGCAAAGACGGATTTGAAAATATTTTCGTTGCTTGTCATGATTCGAATAATGTAGTTCAAGTAACATATGATGGGGAGTGTCTAGGTGAGGTGGTGAAAGGTACGCATGGAACTAAAATAGCGGGGATTTGTTTCGACAGAAATACATCAAAACTTGTAGTTGGAGAAATGGATGGGAGCAGGATACATGTTTATTCTGTGAAGGAAGAAAAATGACACTCGTAGGAGAACTACACACCTCGTTTTTGTTCTACAGAAGGTGATATAAAATGACAAAACAACTGTGATATGAAATGACAAAAAACTGTGATATATTTTAATGACAAGAAAATGATAAGAAATAATTTGTATAGAGGTACATAAGCAATGTTCAGTAGTGGCACTGTGCCTTTTGGTCTAGAAAGAAAGCTATCACTGTCAATCTGTCGAAGAACGTCTCTGTTTTCATTGCAGAAAGTCATTAGCAAATGAAAGTCACTACTACTATTATAAAAGTCATAATTATTTGGTTTTATAGGTTAAGGTCAACAAGTAAATGAAGAAATAAACATTTTTTTCTGACACAGTAAATGTTGCTTTCTACGGATTATATTTATCCAAGCGCTAAAAAGCTTAATAATGCTTAATAAGATTTGAAACAGAGGGAATAAGATTTGAAACAGAGGGAAACTTGTTTAATTTTATAAGAACGTGTTTACTTTATCAAGATTTAGTTAATACTTCTTTTAAAGCATTGTAAACATGTGTCTGTAATGGTTTTAATGCCAGTCGGTATGACATTTGCTTGTGCAGAGGTAATTAAAAATCTGGAAAAATCTAGAAAACATACACCATTTGGCAGATTAGACATTGACTGTATTAATTTTGATAGTATGGTTTGTATAGAAGGTAATTTTCAAACCTTGTGTTTTTAAAAATTTAGGCGACAATGAAACCAATGACAATTTATATATTATGTTTGCTAAGTCACTGTATAAACATGTACATATAATAATATTGCTATATGCTGTAATATTAGATGTAGCTTTTTTTGCAAGTATTGTTTAGAATTTTATAACCTTTTTATAAATCATAATGACTGACTATGTATTTTATAAATGACTTTGTGTTTTAATCACAACAGTTTACTCATTTATTGATTCTCTAACAAGCATATCTTAATACACATATCAGAACACACGACTAAATATGTGACTTTACAAACTAAATATTAGTTGGTTCCAGATGAAATATGTTTACGGCTTTTAACATATTTGAAGCAGTAATTTTGTGCATAAGGCCATTAATCTTTAGAAGTTGATTCATGGAAATTGTCGTTAATAATAAATATCGTCCTAAATATCATTTTCACACTTACTATGAAACGTTTCTTTTTTGATAAATGAAAACATATCAATAAATAATTAAAATAACATATATCATGCTCTAGCTTACATTTCCACTTTTAAAATCTTTATAATTAGTTTAAATGTACTTATTCTCTATAAAAAAAATACCTGATATGTAACCATTGTTTATTCTTGCAATAAAATAATCTGTAATATGTTTGTAAATTTGTATAATGTATGCAATGTATTTATTTATACGAACTGGATGATAAAATATTTTAATAGAAAAAAAAAATCATTTTAAACTGATTTTGTAGGAAAAATATCTTTTAGTTCACCTGAAAATAATATGCTCAAAGAGAAGCGTTGTGATGGTAATGTCTGTCGTTCTTCGTTATCCACGAGTTCATTTCTTTGAACAATATCCCCTCCTAAATGATAAGGTGGATTTTGACCAAACTATGGAGGTATGCTGCTTAGGGGCCTTCTACGGTAGTTACAAATTGTGCAAGGTTGATGCATTACTTTGGCACAAAAACTAAAGATAAAACATTTAAATTGTTATTTTTCTCAAACATTACAATACCCAAATTTTATACATTTAGCATGTAGCATTATAGCATTGTGGTTCTTTACAACGATTGTGTTATTCATGCCCCTTTAGTTATCATTGCCCCGGCTCTAGCAGACCTTTGCAAATATTTTATAAACCATACAGCTGCTGTGATAAATAACAAACTCAATTAGATCGAACTTCTTACTCCCACATTGAAAAATAGTGGTTTTTATTGCGATGGCATCCGACAAAATCAAACTTTGTATGGATCGTGCAGTTCGTGCGACGTCAGTTCCATAATATTTTAAAATGCATTTATTTTACAGTGTCTTACTACATGTACTTAAAACCAGCATTGATCCTTACTACTCACCTTCATGTCTCAATTGAAATGTCAGCTATGTCCAGAATAGCTGTATCATCTTTATATCTTTATCAAGTTTGCAAAGTTGAAAAACCATCAGTAGATATAATCGATTATATTTTCATATCAGATGATAGCTTTGAGTTGTAGGGAACAAAAGAAAACCGTTCATACTCCACTTCATTTTGCATAATTTATTGGCCTGTACACGTCAGAAAGTACCATACCATCGGGCACCGGTTTACCTATCTTGCTACGCGCCTGAAATTTTTTAAATACGGATGGCTGAACAACCAGTATCGTTTATTTTATCTTGCTTTAACACAGTAACTGTGTCAGAGAAAATGGCGACAGATGGGCGATTAACTCGTTCAAAACAATATTTATCAGACATAAATATTGCTTGTGTTCCGTGTAGGAGTAGGATAAAGAGGGGAAAGACGAATAGAGGTGTTAAATATTGTATGGACTGCCAAGAGTTTTTGTGTACTGTATGCGTGAATAAACACAACAGTGTTTCTGTTTTCGCTGGACATTCTTTACTTGATAGGTCAAAATTTAGAACATTAGGCGGATCAAAAGACGAACACACTGCGTCTTTGCGAACAAAGAGACACAATTTACATTCAACGAAGGTATTGGACGGAGATCAAAAGTATGTTTAAGTTCCTATTATTGTTCATTAATTTACGAAGATATGCACTCCTTAAGATGTATCTGGTGATGATTTAAACGTACATTTTCTGTTGGTGTAAAAAGCCTGTACTTTTCAAGAATCGTACAAAAAAAAGTAACGCAATATTTATATAAAATAATGTCAACTTTTTAGTATAATAGGTCACGAAAAGGATGAAATGACAGACGGCGGCGTTGGTACAACACTACAATTTATCATGTCTATATTAGCCTTCCACTAAGGATATTCGCATGCCACTGTTTATCCTTGCGTGCTCGTAAGAGACGACTAAATGGGTTCAAATTTCTCGACTCTATAGATGCATGTCCTAGCCAAGCACGTGAGGTGGTTTTGATCCAAGGTGTTGCTTTAAGTTTGTATATTAGCCAAATCATCATCCCTGTTTCGGCGCCATATGACCTACATTGTGTTGGTGCACCATAAAACCAAACTAAACCAAACCATTCATTGAATTAATTGTTAAAGATCTGTGATGCTGTAAATAGTAGGGAAATTCTAAAACTTATGGCAATGAAGACACAAATGTCCCAAAATAACAGTCATATTCTATTCTTTTTAGGAGTTATATTAATATTAAGTTCATATCACATATAAAATATTCTTTATAATAATAATGCATGTAGATTAGATTTTTATATACTTTTTAATTAGGAGACGTTCAGACAAGCGCCAAAGGGATAAGCCAGTAGAACCAAGAACCAAGTTATATACATTTGAACATGTAGGCACATACAACATATTTCTACCTAAAAAGAAAGAAATCAGTCAGGTATGGTCATTATGCATACTTGATTCTTGTGACATACTTATTGCTGACCGTTATAACAATAATTTGAAACTTCTAGATGGCAAAACATACCGAATTAAAGAAAAAGTTGAGCTTTCTGATACACCTAATTCTGTTTGTAAAGGTCGGACACATGAGGCAATAGTCGCTTTAGAAAATGAAGGCATACAATTCGTATCTACGAAGAAGAATCTTGTTCTTACCAATATATTAAGGATGGATCATATTTGCTTGGGTGTTTGTATGATTTCTTCGAATATATATGTCACTGACGGTAAAAACAGAAATATTTTTAAGTATGACTTGGAAGGAAAGCTACTAAAGACAATTTCTGGAGAAACAATATTTGGGTGGAACCAATTTTTAGTAGCCAGTGACGATGGAAAAGCTCTGTTTGTAACTGATAGGGACGAAGGATTGGTAAAAATGGATCTTGAAGGCAATGTCATCTGGAAACTACCAGAAAATGCTTTTGGAGAAGCATTCAACTTATGCACAGACGGATTTGAAAATATTTTCGTTGCTTGTAATGATTCTTGTAATGTAGTTCAAGTAACATATGATGGAGAGTGTCTAGGAAGGGTGGTGAAAGACAAGTTTAGGACTGATGCCACGGGGATTTGTTTCGACAGAAATACATCGAAACTTGTTGTTGGAGAAATGGATGGGAGCAGGATACATGTTTATTCGGTGAGGTAGGAAAATGACAATCGTAGAAGAACTTCACAGCTCGTGTTTGGTTAAATAATATAAAATTAACAAAATTTGGTAAGAAATACAAACGTGCATTAGCACAGTTCAGAAGTGGTATTGCACCTATTGTACTAGAGTAATAATGTTATTATTGTCACCCTCTCGAGGAACGTCTCTGTTTCCATTGGCAGATAAAAAGCACTTCTTCACTGTCCTATTAATAATTGATTATGATTTGATTCTACAATCATAGCTGAACAAGTAAATGAAAATCTTTCTGACACCGAGACAGATTCTGTCGATTTAAATTAACAGTTTTCTAGATAGAATAAAAAAGAAGATTAAATTTATATGAAACATCTAAACAATATTTGATGATAAGATTTATTTCCTACATTTTTTGTGTACATGTATATGTTTTTGCTTGTACGGATACGCTTAATGTCAACTTGAAACAACCAGAAAACATATATAATTTGGCATTTTAAACATTGCAGTATAAAAGTGGTATGCGAAAGGTACTTATCAAACATTTTTAAATGTGTTTTCGAAAATTCAAGCGTCAATTAAACCAACGTTCTTTTTAGGCAAAACTAAAATTTGCTTATTCCCTGCACAAATATGTACAGACAGTCACATGAATATTGCTATGTTTGTGTTGAAGATTGAATACCGTGAAACCGGTCCTTGGGGATGAGAGAGATGTTGCAATTTCCATTGTCATCATCAACAGACTCAATTAAACCAAGTCTTAACTTTCATATACTTCCGTTGTTTTATTTGCTTTCGAGGGATCATTCATTTTCCAAAGTTTAATATGAGATGTATTATTTTGTTGTAAGTAATTAGAATTTCATAATTGTCACGGTTCAGAACTGTTCACTATTTAGGGGAGAAAATGTGTAAGCGGCCGGATAGCTCAGTCGGTAGAGCCGCGGAACGTTGTTCCGAGGGTCCCGGGTTCGAGTCCCGGTCAGGCTGCACAATTTTCTCAACCAACAACGTGGGGCCATGACTGGATATAGTTCAGAGTTTAATTTACATTACTCTGTAACTCTGTGAAATTCGAGGTATAGCAGGGGAGTATGTCACGGTTCAGAACTGTTCACTATTTAGGGCTGATGCACAATTTTCTCACCTTGTGACATAATCTTTCATAAATCATAACGAATGGCAACAATACGTTATGAATGTTTTAAAGTTTTAAACACCAATGGCAGAAATATATGTTAACACGTTACTGTAACTCTACCAAATATAAGTCACAACACATGAATGGTTATGTGACTTAATTGTAACTTAATGGATGATATTAGATGATGAATGTTTAAGGATTTTGTTTACGTATTTGTATTACATTTAAAAAATGATAGAATCAATTTTTAAATTATTGTAGGCTGGTGCCTAATTATTTGAAACTAAGGCATTCAGGCTAAAAGTATTGAACATCGAATATTACATAAATCATCTTTTGTCTGCTGTAAAAATCCACGATTAATTATATTTATTTTCAGCATTGTATTATGCTTAATGCAAAATAAGCTATTAGTATTAGTTAATTTGTGAGTTAATATTTGGATGTTAATACATGAAAAATTTGTACTAATAATAAATATTGTTTTTTAAGTTTTGTGTGAAAGTTTAATTTTAGCTCACCTGTCAGAGCATAAAATGCTCCGAAGGAAACTTTTGCTATGGCAATATGTCTGTCTTTCGTCATTGTCCACGATTTCTTTGAACCATATCTCCTCCTAATCACAAGATGGATTTTGACAAATTCTACAGGAATGGTCACAAGAGCCCCTATACAAAAGTTATATAATAGTTTGATACCTTAGTTGGTAACTTAAGATAAACATATAAAATGTATTTTCTTCTCAAAATCTACAATACCCAAATTTTAGACATTTGTTATGTAGCATCACCACCTTGTGGTTCTTTAAAAAAAGCTTGGTAAATCGTGCACATTGGGTAAAAAATGGCCCAGCTTTAGCAGACCTCCAGAAATATTTCATAAATCATGCAACTGCTGTGAAAAATGAGACACTCAATTTGATCTAACTTTTATCCTGCATCGAAAAATTGTGACTTTTATTGCGATGGATCACAGCTAAGCAATTTCGGGTCTCAATGGCTACAACGTTTTCTTCTTACCTAAGATTAACGACTCGGTCAGTCAGTTTACAGTGACCACAAATGGCATCACTCTTGAGGGTCAGATGTTCAATATTAAGGAGAAAATCACTTTAATTCCACATATATAACATATGAAATAAAAAATTAGATGTAAGCATACAGGAATGTACAATAATATACACAAGGAGTATAAGTGAAAGAAAAGTCATACAGGGTAATCATTTGATAGAATGGTAAATATTGGAAACCTTAATGAAACTAAAAATTTGAAAAATGTTGTAGACTCGGTTTGATTGAGCCTGACCATGAACATTAAGATGTAAATCTGTATTATAAAACCGGCTATCTACTACGTATGTGCTTAGATTCTAAAACGAAAAATCAGAATAATTTGATGTGCATTTATGAGAGAAGTGTAGAAGAAATATGATACAAACGATCATCTTTTAAAGGCACATTTACCTAAAAAATCATTCTGGAGAAAGGGGGCAAATATGTTGTTTTATAATGTTTAGCAAATTGGTTGAAAACATGTTTAATGCTTATCATCTGAAGGCAAAAGCGCTTAATATGAAATAACTTATAAGTAGTAAAAAGAAAGCAATATACTTTCAATAGTTGTACTAATTAATTGCCAAAAACACAGATGAATAAACTGATGGGTTAAACTTATGATCAATGAGTGACTTTTTGAAACTGTAACACACACAAAAACACATAAAGGTGCGCGCGTGCGCGCACACGCACGAACGCACACACAAAAATTAAAAATAGCATTTCAGAAATTAAAAATAGTTGTATTTTAAGACCTAATTAGCCTTTAAGACATTTTAATACTTGACAATTTTACAATTTATAAAAATAAGTATAAATTTGACTGATTTTCATTTTCTAATTTATTACAAAAGAAATCACAGTTTTTGTTCAACACCACAACAATACTCGTTTATCTGTTAGTTTTATTTAAGCAGATGATCTGTATCTTGCTAGTCTTTAATGAGTGAAAATAGGATATACAAAATTGTCAATGTCAGGATATTGCATCAATCAAACATTTATCATTTAAAAGAATTTGACTTAAATGGTCCATTCTGATATTACATACAGTCTACATTTGAGAACAAATTGTATTTCTTCTATTTATTGATTCTAAGTAGTTACAATAACGTTTAATTTCTGGTGCCTCTTCGACTCAGTTATGATGGGAACATTTCTGTCTGAGTTTTCAATTTCACCTTGTTCGCCACGTTGTGGTCTATTTCCTGTCGAGATAGTTTTTGTTTGTTTGGGCTCATACCGTTTTAGCCGTTTTCAAACATGAATTTAAGTAGCTGGTTATATAATACAACTATCTGTAAATAGACATTGACTGAATCTTCAGCCTTGAACATACGTTTAGTTCTCAAATAATAAAGAAAGAAGTAGATAAACAAAATATGAAAAAAGAACAAAAGAATAAAAAAAATGCATTTCTTATTTTTATATTGAAATTGTTTTCACTAGAAATTTTACATTATTTGTACACATACGTAACTGTACAACAATTCAAAGGGTAGCAAAAATCGTCATAACATTTAATCTGTAAATTTCGTAAGAGTTATGCTCAATCTAAATTTTTAGAATGAAAACAAATAAGCATTTTGACCGTTCCACATTATTTTTTTCAAGAGCTATTACATATGTATATCACATGGAATTACCTCCAATTCGATACTATTCTAGTATTTTTAGTATAGAAAGTATGATATTTTTTCATCGAAACTGTTTAAGCATTTGGTGTTCTACTATTTATTTAGCAGATCATTTATTTTGCTTCTCTCCCTGTAGTTGGGTTGATGTTGATTGACCACTTTATATAATTTTAACGTTTACTCCGTTTTAGAAAATTTAAGAAATCAGAGCAAAGACCAAAAAGTCAATGCGACGTTCATAGAACGCAGCCCCCGACACAATCCAGTCACACCAGCAGAGCACCCAGAAGGCACCGAGAGAACAAAAGGGCGGTGAAAAGAGGGGAAGGACATAAATTAATTTAAATGTATATATTCATGGCTATTTCGAAGGTATCCGCCTACATTAAAACGCATACTAGTGAATAAACTAGTCCAAGTTACCGTGTACTTGATACGCCGTGTTTATAATGGGAAGTATGAAGTTATTAAAGGGAAGTCACTAAAGTAGGAAAGAAAAGAAAATGGCGACTGGAGGACGTTTAACCCATTCAAAGATTAATGATTCAGATGAAGTTATTGACTATGCTTGTTCTCCATGTACGAAGAGAAACAAGACGAATGATGCTGTTAGATTTTGTGTGGAATGCCAGGAATTCTTGTGTTCTCTATGTGTGGATAACCATAACAGTTTTTCTGCTCTTACAGGACACATCTTACTAGATAAATCACAGTTTGGATCTCTGGGGGGATCAACTGCACCGAACGTTCTTCCGTTGCCGACAGAGAGATGTAAGGTTCATTTAACGAAATTAGTGGACATGTACTGCGCAAACCACGACGCTGTTGGCTGTTCTATATGTTTAAATATCGACCACAGGTATGTTAAAATTTAAGTTTTTATACCCCAATACTCTGTTATCAATGTGCATTTTGCAACACCGAAATGATACATCTACCCGTTCGTAACTATGAATTTGTTATTAATATGCTACATATGCCTTGATTCTAACTTTATTGCTCTATTTTTAACTTTAATGATTCTAAAAATATCAAAATATTTGTTTACAGTGAGAAATAAAATTTGCAGTTTCCATGAGATAACTGTGACCTAACGGTTTAATGTTTCACTTGACACAGATATAAACACCCATATTATCACTCCTGTTCACATGTTTATAGCCAGAAGAATAGCAATTTCAGTTATAAACTAGATTATGTTCTTTTTTGTCTCTTTTCATGTAAATAATATTTTATAATCTATTGTGCAGCAATGGATTTCAGGATAAAAAATATCACCAAGGGCAGAGGAATTGATAACCCGCAACAATTTAACGGATGTGCTTAAAATTTAAGTAAATATTTACAAAATAAAACGTTGCTGCGGTTTAAAATAACAGCAGAATTAACATTGCAAATACAGTAAAAACTCTCAATTAAGGCCACCATCGGGACAGGACCAAAGTGGTCTATAAATTGCGGGGTGGTCTTTATTGTGAATGTTCTTATCATTGCTTACACACCTTTTGACCATGGTCTTTTTTAGTCATTTTGTTTCAACAGACAATATGTATCTTAACCTACAAATACAATAAAAAAGTATGTTATAATTTAACATTTGATGGGAAGGAAGAAATTTAAAATCAAATTTTATTTGGTCTGATTTCAATATTAATTATTATATGATCCATCAAATAAAAAAACAATTATTCACCTAATCAATGTGCTTAATGCATTATTCAACCACTCTAAATGTTACTTTCTTACCTTATTTCATACAATATCCCAATGATATAAGGCGTTTTTTGACACCTTGTGAAATCAAGTGTCATGCCTTATAGCAATCAAGCAGATCTAGGTAGGTGTTGACTTTAAATCAGTGGTTTTAATAGTGGGGTCAAATAAAGAACAAAACAAAGAATTGGGACTGAATCTGGTGGTCTTAAAAGTGGATAAGCGAGGTGGTCTTAATTCTGGATCATGTAACCATTGAAATAAAGTACAGAAAGAAAATTCCGTACTTTTAAAAAATGGTCTTAATAGCGGTGCGGTCTTAATTCCGTGGTGGTCTAAGTAGGGATTCTACTGTACTTGACTTAAATGTTCTTTCGTGGGACAAGACATGTATCAATCATCTAATTCCATATAAATGTATGAGCTTGTGCTTTTTTTCAAAAAATTGTTGAATGATTATTTATCAAATTATTTCTTTTGTCAAACTTCTCCTGTTTGTTTTGAATGTCAATATCTTAATCACAGATACTTGTATCAGATTGGTCAAAAACGTCAATTTGGTCATAAAAAACCAATGTTAAGTGGATTTTTAAAAAATATATTTCACTTTTATTTTTTTTAGTATAAAGACTGATACTAGCACCTGTGTACTAAATCAATATGCAGGTCTTTTGTTAGCTTCAAAACGATAGAAATATCCAATTCAAGTTAGCTAAAGCATTTACAAATCAGACAATGATAAAAAATTATACTGTTATCTTTCTATAAAAAGGATAAACTAGCTAAATATTAAACGTCGGATGTAGCCATTTATATAAACAATATATTCACCGCAATGTTAAAGGTGTCCGCTTACAATATAAGTCATTATTGAAACTTGATTCGCGTGTTTCTTAACAACATTTTCTGGCGAGCTTCTGGTGAAAATATGTTGTCTGTTGTACACCTCTACTAACAATTTGTTTGAACGACATATGTTCCGAAACCATTTTGTGAATTCACATCGATACTTTAAATTTGGCAATTCTAAGGAATTATACTGGCAATTGTTAAGAAATTAGGGCCAAAAATATAATACGCATGCCAAATTTAGAATAGTTTCTTTCATTTGACCAAGGTGACGCAGACAGTAACTATCTATATTTATGAGACTGATATGACTATTTTTTCTAGTTTGTACTTTTGTGAAAATGACATTGAATTAAGTATTTTTATTTTAATGAAAAATAAGTGTTGTCATCTATTCTTTCAGGAGTTGTCAAGATGTACACTACGTACCTACATATGTACAGGGACTGAAGCCATCTTTCCAGACGTCGAGTTTAAAAAGTCAAGTTAATGCCACTATTGTGAAGTTGGAAAGTCTCCTGAAACGGTACAAGGATACCAGGGGTGAATTTGACACGAAGCGAGTTTCTTCCCTGAAAGATATCCAAGAATTCAGAAAAGAAATCAACAAAACATTAGATCGATTAGAGCAAGCATCAATACAGAATATTAACAAGCAGTATAAAGATTTAGATCTAACGTGCGAAAATGAAATGGCAGATATTCAAAGAATGCTTGGTGAATTGAAAAGAAGTAAAATGTCGCTAGAATCATCTGTGACGAATGTATCGCAGCAGTTTGTAGTTGATAGAAAATGCAAATGTGATGTTGTAGATTCGGGAAGTCTTCTAGAACGATCCATGATTCATAGATCAAAGTTTATTCCATTTAAAGGAAACACAGATTTTTTCGTTTATATAAATACATTTCATTCCCTAGATCAGAGTGTGCAACAAACTGCTCAGAAAATCAAGCCAAAGAAAACATTGTATGAATTAAAAAGTGCAGACACATTTGATATAAGACTACCAACAAATGAGGGACCATGTGAGATTCGATCAATGTGTATACTTGATTCTGGTGATATTCTAGTAACAGACAATAGTAACAAAGCATTAAAACTGATAGATGGTGAATCGTATAACGTTAAAGACTCAATTAAGGTTCCAAATGGACCGTCAGGAGTATGTAAAGGTCGGATTCATGAGGCAGTAGTGTGTTTAGAACGTACAGGAATACAATTCGTATCTACTAAAGAGAAACTTGTACTTACCCAGACATTAAGTATGAATCATATTTGTTTGGGCGTTTGTATGATTTCGTCTTGTTTATATGTCACTGACGGCCAAAATAGAAATATATTTAAGTACGACTTTAACGGAAAACTTTTGAAAAAGATATCTGGTGATACAATCTTTTCATGGAATCGATATTTAGCTGACAGTTACGATGGGAAGTCTCTATATGTCACTGACCGTGACAATGGACTGTTAAAACTTGATCTTGAAGGCAATGTTATTTGGAAACAGCCGGCAAATATTTTTGAATCAGCATATGGTGTATGTACTGACGGACTTGATGTTGTTTTTGTTACTGGCTATAATTCAAATAATGTTGTTCAAGTTGCTTCTGATGGTACGTGTCTTGGAGAGGTGATTTCAAAAAACAGGTGTGTCATTCACGCATCGGCAGTTTGTTTTGACCGACTGAAGTCAAAGCTTATTGTTGCAGGGGAAGATACAGGAATAATTCACGTCTACTCTTTAGAATGAAATAAGTAGAAACACTTAAAACGTTTGTGTGTTAAGCAAATGTCTTTTAGAATTTATTGACCAAGTGAAAATATCTTAAGTTTAATTGGATTTTTAAATTAACGTTGTAGAGTAATTGAAACAGTCGAAATAAAAACCTTAAAAGTGTTTTGCCTCCCTGAGGCGTTTGCTCAATCAATACTTTTATCAAGGTAAAGGACTATCCATTTAACTTAAGTTTAAGAATATTACAGGTTGGTGCCTATTTGAAACTTATATATGCAGGCGCAAAATACCGGTATATAATATTGAACATAATATTTTATAAATTATCTTTTGTCTACTTTGAAAATCCATGTTTAATCTCCAAACATTGTATAATACAATATATATTTGTTATACGCATTGTTTTATGCTTAATGCAAAAGAAACTATTCGTATAAGTAAATTTGTGAGATAGTATTTGGATGATGATACGTGAAAATTGTCACTTATTATAGATACTGTTTTTAAGTTTTGTGTCAAAGTATTAATTTGAGCCAACAAGTATTAATTTTAGCCCACCTGAGCACAAAATCCGAAGGAAACTTTTGCTATGGCAATATGTCTGTCTTTCGCCATTGTCCACGATGTCGCCTCCTAGATCACAAGGTGGATTTTGACAAATTCTACAGAAATTGTCACAAGAGATCTAGACCCTTTACAAAAGTTATAAAAATTGTTTGATACTTTAGTTGGTAACTGAACTAAAGATAAACATATTAAATGTAATTTCTTCTCCAAATCTACGATAACCAAATTTTAGTAATGTATCATCATCAGGTTCTTTAAAATGCTAGGTAATTCGTGCACTTTCGGCCAAAATTGCCCAAGCTCTAGCAGACCTTTAGAAATATTTCATAAATCGTGCAGCTGCTGTGAAAAATGAGAAACTCAATTTGATCTAACTCCTTTTATTCTGTGACTTTCATTGGATCATGGAACACAGATGAGCTATTTCGGGTCTCAATGGCTACAACGTTTTCTTTTTACATACGATTAACGGCTCGGTCAGTCACATAACGCATCACTCTTGAGTGTCACAGGTTCAATATTAAGAAGATTAAGCCACGACTTTTTTACTCTTAAATAGATTTGCTTCATACATGGGTATGAATATCTGAACAAGCACATCAACCTTATCACCATAAATAGCCTGTCAGACCAAATGACCAAGTTATAAAGGTATTGTGTTGTCTCTGGGTGAATTATTATATGCAATTGTGGCCAAATTGTTTAGGATATAGAATCAAAATATGATTATGCGCAGTAGAAACATACAAGTTCCTATATAAGTCTTTAAAGTGAAAACGCTTTCAGTGTTTATAAAGAGCATACGAGTTATTGATATTTGGTGACATCATATGCGAATATATAACGAAACAGATAAGCCAAAGTTATGAACTTACAAACACCTCCATTAAAGTCATTATCTGTAATAAACAATCCATCCGTTAATACGTTATTCCACGTATATAACATATGAAATAAGCATACATGAATGCACCAAGACGAGGAAGAGTCATACAGGGTTACCATTTGAAAGAATGATCAAAAATGGAAACCTTAAAGAAAGTCGAAAACTGTAAATTTGAAAATGTTGTTGACTCGGTTTGATTGACATCAAGATGTATAGTCTGTTTATACAAAAACCGGCTAACTACGTATGTCCACAGAGTTTAGAATATGTTGGAGTGCATTTATGAGAAATATGATATAAACGATCATGTCTTAAGGCACATAAGCCTTCAGAAATGATAAAAAACAACATTCCGTTGAAAGGGGGCAAACATGTGTTTTATAATGTTTGACAAATACAATAAGAATATGTAAGATTGCTTATCATCTGAAGAAAGAAAACAACGCTAAATATGAAATAATTTATAGTAGTAAAATGAAAGCAATTACTTACTAACAATTACTGTACTTAATGCCAAAATGCAGAAGAAATAACTGATGGGTAAGCTTTATGGTCAATGAGTAATTCTTTGCAAAAATAGCATTTTAAAAGTAAAAAAAGTTGTTTTTTAAGACCTAATTAGCCTTTAAGTCATTTTAATACTTTACAATTTTACAATTTATAAAAATAATTATAAATTGGATTGATTTTCATTTTCTAATTTATTACAAAAAACATTCTTTGTAAAATACCACAACAATATTGTTATGTATGCAACTTATTACATGTATATAATTTATATATGACCAGTTGGTATTTCCAATATTATCATTGTTCTATTTTTAGAACATTAACTACATGTATGTACTAGAACTTTCTTAACTGTTGTAGAAAACTCATGCATTATATTTAGATAGAAACTTCTGGAATGTTCTTTATTGTTGAAGTTGCTAGATTATGATTACTTGAGAACATAATAGACCTTTCTGGAATTTTCTTAGTTAATATATATAAATTGACATTTTTCATTACCTTTACCTTTTAAGTCATCAGTGATGTTTTAAGTCATCAGTTACTTTTTAAGTCATCAATATATTTGGAGTATTATTCAAATTGGATATTAAGTGAATTATTGGAGCTTGGATTTTAAAATAAATTATTCTTGTGGATTTTATTGTGGGAATTTATTCTAAAGTGTTCTTGGATTTAACTTGGATTTAACTGTGTTATTCAAAAAGGATCATTCCAGGATCAGACTAGACATTTAAGATTTTCACTTTTATTTGGACTTCAGGTATTTGTAAACGTAATTTGTTATTTTATTTTTCTTTAATAATTTTTCTGTAATAAATTTGTTATATTGTTACAAGTTTGTTGCTGGCTTTTCTTTCTAGTTACGCCTGGCTCGTAACAATATATATGTTAGTTTAATATAAGCAGCTGATTTGTATCTAGCTAGTCTTTTATGATATGAGTGATGATATGATATACAAATGTGTCGATGTCTATTAGGATATTGCATAAATCATTTAAAAGAATTTCACATAAATGGTCCATTCTGATATTACATACATTCTTCATTTAAGAACAAATTGTCTTTCTTCTTTTATAGATTCCAAGTAGTTAAAAAAAGGGAAAACCGTTTAATTTCTGGTGCCTCTTCGACTCAGTTTTGATCGGAACATTTCTATCTGAGTTTTCAATTTCACTTTGTTCGCCACGTTGTGGTCTATTTCCTGTCATACTTTCAGTGAGATAGTTTGTTTGTTTACATATCAATTTGATTTGGCTCATACCGTTTTAGCCGTTTCATACATGAAGTAGCTGTTTATATACTATCTGTTAATAGACATTGACTAAATCTTCAGCCTTAAACATGAACATACATTATTTTCTAAAAAAAAATAAAGAAAGAAGTAGATAAACAAAAATATAAAAAAAGAATAAAAATAAAAAATGCATTTTTTATTTTCATATTGAAATTGTTTTCACTAGAAAATTTACAGTATTTGTACACATTCGTAACTGTACAACAATTCAAAGGGTAGCAAAAAAATCGTCATTACATTTATCTGTGAATTTCGTAAGAGTTATGCTCAATCTAAACTTTTACAATCAAAACAAATAAGCATTTTGACCGTTCCACATTATTTCTTTCAAGAGCTATTACATGTATATCACATGGAATTACCTCATATTTGATGCTTTTCTGGTCAATTCTAGAAATTTTTATATTTTTTCATCAAAACTGTTTAAGCATTCTGCTATTCTATTATTAATTTAGTAGATCACTCATTTTCTTTCTCTTCCTCTAGTTGGGTTAATGTTGATTGACCACTATTATTAATTTTTAACGTTTAATTACTCCCTTGTAGTAAATTAAAAAAATTAGAGCAAAGACCAACAAGGCAAGACGGAGGGGTGTGACATGTCGACATGTAATAAGAGAAATGAGACCAGGGATGTAAGGAAAACAGGTGGGGTGCAGGACACAGAACTTGACAAAATACTTACCGTTATCGACAATTTAACAAGATAGGACATCACAAAACGTACAGACATTCAAAACATGTAACAATACACAAGACATAATGTGCGTGAAGTTAGCCGGACAGCCGGAACAGCCGGAGCAGCCGGAACTCATTTTCGTCTACTCCGGCTGTTCTGGCTACTCCGGCTAGCCGGAATCCGGTTCCGGCTATACAGGCTGGCCAGAGATTATACGGTAAAACCTGTGCAAAAGACCATTGGCTAATTCCATAATGTAACTTCTAATTACTTATCACAACGATCTCCGGCTATTACGGCTAGCCAGAAAAACAGAAATCAAGGCTACATAAGATGAAAAAAAAAATTCCGACAGCAGATTGATGAATATAATTATATGCCAAGCATTGTGTGGCCGGGTGTCCGCGGGTATAGGTGTGTCCGTCGGGAATACACGGGTATTTTGCCGACGGTGAGCCGAAAATCGTTCTAGACAGCTCATATCTGGCGAATTCCGGCTGGCCCCTGTGGGGAACAGACTCAATTACGCAGAACCACACATGGTGGGATGGTTAGGGGGTCTGACCGGGTGTCCGCAGGTATAGGTGTGTCCGTCGGGAATAATCTGGTATTTTGCCGACGGTGAGCCGAAAATCGTTTTAGACAGCTCATATCTGGCCAATTCCGGCTGGCCCCTGTGGGGTCCAGGACTCAATTACGCAGAACCGCACATGGTGGGATGGGTTAGGGGGTCTGACCGGGTGTCCGCAGGTATAGGTGTGTCCGTCGGAAATACTCTGGTATTTTGCCGACGGTGAGCCGAAAATCGTTCTAGACAGCTCATATCTGTCCAATTCAGGCTGGCCCCTGTGGGGACCATACTCAATTGCGCAGAACCGCACATGGTGGGATGGTTAGGGGGTCTGACCGGGTGTCCGCGGGTATAGGTGTGTCCTTCGGGAATACTCTGGTATTTTGCCGACGGTGAGCCGAAAATCGTTCTAGACAGCTCATATCTGGCCAATTCCGGCTGGCCCCTGTAGGGACCAGACTCAATTACGCAGAACTGCACATGGTGGGATGGTTAGGGGGTCTGACTGGGTGTCCGCAGGTATAGGTGTGTCCGTCGGGAATACTCTGGTATTTTGCCGACGGTGTGCCAAAAAATCGTTCTAGACAGCTCATATTTGGCCAATTCCGGCTGGCCCCTGTGGGGATCAGACTCAATTACGCAGAACCGCACATGGTGGGATGGTTAGGGGTCTGACCGGCTGTCCGCGGGTATAGGTGTGTCCGTCGGGAATACTCTGGTATTTTGCCGACGGTGAGCCGAAAAATCGTTCTAGACAGATCATATCTGGCCAATTCCGGCTGGCCCCTGGTAGGACCAGACTCAATTACGCAGAACTGCACATGG